TCCCCCTCCTCCTCCCCCTCCTGCTCCTCCTCCCCCTCCTCCTCCCCCTCCTCCTCCTCCTCCTCCTCCTCCCCCTCCTCCGGGGGGGCCCGACCGCGTCGGGGGTCGAAGCCCTCGCACGGCGGCGGCCCGAGGGCTCCGGCGGAGGTGCCCGCCGCCAGGCGCCCGCGGCATCACCTCGGAGACGATGTCGACGCCCGTGTAGGAGACCTCGGGGTGCCGCCGCACGAAGTCCGCCGGGCCGCCACAAAGGCCCGCTCCAGAGCGGCCGGCCGGCCATCGGGCGTCCGTGATGCTGCTCGGTGGGGCGCACCGTTCGCGCACGCCCAGGGCCCCGAAAAGGCCACGTTGGGTCCCCTTTGGGGCCCATTTCCTGCCACCCCCGAGGACGGGGGAACGGAAGAGGAGGAGGCGGACGAGGGGATGGAGGAGGCGGAGGTGGGATGAGAGGAGGACGAGGAGGGGGGTGGACTCGGAGAATGAAGAGGAGATGGAGATGGAGCAGGCGCAGATCGAGGAACTGTCGGCGTTCTAGTCGCTGTCATCGTTCGTGCCGCCGTCTCTAGAAGAAGAAACAAAAAAAACACCATAAACATCAACATTGGGCGTCCGCGCGGACTTCTTGGATCTGCGCTGGACCACCCTCCCCGGCGCGTGGAGCGCGCCAGGGGGTTCCCGCGCGGATCCAAGAACTCCGCGCGGAGCCCAATTTTCCGCGCGGAGCCATACTTCTCGCGTTTGTTTCGTCCTCGAATTTACCGCCCCCCTGTTCCCCATCACGTCCCCAGCACGGAGCGTCCCAGGCCCGCTCGCGCACCCCTTGGGCGCAAAGACGAACCAGAGTTGGCCCTGACCCGAGTTACCCCTGCTGACTCGGGGCTCTGAACCCCTGCTCTCGCTGCGCACCTCCTCGCGCACTGGCCCCACCTCCTCGTGACAACCCTTGCCGCGGCTGTGCGGCTCCGTCCTGCTGCTCGCGAGCCGCTCCCCCTGCTCCTGCTGCTGCTGCTGCTCGCGAAGCCTCCTGCCGCGCCTGCTCCTCCTCCGCCCCCGCCGGCTCGAGCAGGAACGCCTCCTCTCTGTCCACGCCGCGGTCCTCCTGCTGCTCCCTCTCCTTCTCCTCCTCCTCCCCTTCCCCTCCTCCTCCTCCTCCTCTCCTCCTCTCTCCTCCTTTCCTCCTCCTCCTCCCTTCTGCACCTCCTTCCCCTCTCTACTCCTCCTCCTCCTCCTCCTCCTCCCCCCTCCTCCTCCTCCTCCTCCTCCTCCTCCTCCTCCTCCTCCTCCTCCTCCTCCTCCTCGATCTCCTCCTTCTGCTCCCTCCTCGACGGCGAGCTCCTCCATCCCCCGAGGCGGGGCTATTCTTCCGCCGGCGGACCGCCGTCCCGAAGCTCTGTAAAGTGGTGCCGGCGCAGACCCCCCAGCGCGCGGCACCGGTCTGGCCCTCGTCTCCTCCTCTTCCTCCGCAGCGTCCGTCTCCTTCTCCTGTGCCTCCCTCGCCTTCGCCTTCCCCATCCCTCTCCTCCATCTCCTCCCTCGCCTTCGCCCTCTCCTCCCTCTCCTCTTCCTTCGCATCGTCCTCCTCCTCCTCCTCCTCCCCCTCCCTCTCCCTCGCCTTCCCCTTCGCCTTCCCCTTCGCCTTCCCTCTCCTCACTCGCCTTCCCCCTCTCCTCCCTCTCCTCTTCATCCGCATCGTCCTCCTCCTTCTCCCCCTCCTCCTGCCTCGCCTTCGCCTTCGCCATCCTTCTCCGCCATCCGAGGGTTGGACTTTGGCCGTGCGCGGCAGCATTCTGGTGCGCAGGCGCATCAGGACATGTCATGCAGTTTGGAGAATGGAGTAATGAGTAAGGAGGAAGAGGAGGATGAGGAGGAGGGAAAGGAGAAAACAGTACGAGGGAGGAGGAAGCAGGAGGGAGGAGAAGAAAACTGGCTAATCTGGAAGCAGGGGAGGGAGGAGAGAGAATACAACAAGGAGGAGGATGCAGAGGAACAATGACAAAGCAAAACTTGGAGCATTTGCAGGAGGCGCAGAAGAGGTATGAGCGGTGAGATAGGACGGAGGAGAAAAGGAAGAGAACAGGAAGGACAGCTGAGGAGAGAGGAGAGACAAATACGCACGTAGGATAGATGGAAGAGAGAGAGAGAGAGGGAGAGGCAATACCAAGAGAGGAAGAAAGAGAGAAAAACAACCAAGAAAAGAAGATGGGAGGAGACTGAGAAGGTGTAGAAGGTTGGGATCTCCCTCCCCCTGGCGCGGGGAGCGCGTCGCCACGGGGGGGGGGGGCGCGGATCCAAGAGATCCGCGCGGACCTTCGGGACGAATCACGCGCAACCTGGTTTGAACCTCCGTATCCGCCCCCGTGCCTGGAAGCACGAAGTGGAGTGTCCCACAGATTTCTAGAGCTCCCTGTGCCCTGTACGCAGTAGGGTGAGAATTCTAAATAAGGGCAAACAGCATAGAATCCTAAATCGGCCCCGCGCGCCCCCGGCGAGCCCTCGGCGAGTCCCCGCGTGACTTTGCCAGAGGCCCGAGGGCCCCCAGGACGGGCCAAGAGGACCCAAGAGGCCCCCAAGACAATTGCGTGCTGCACATCCGTCTCTTCGTATGTTATTATCAGCCGTACTGGCATCAGGGTTCCTCTGCTTCTTCTTCTCCTTCGTTGAGAGGGAGAGGGTAGAGAGAGGGAACGAGAGAGAAAGCGGACAAGAGAGAAAGAGAGAGAGAGAGAAACAAAAATGTATACATACATATCTATTCACATGTGCATATCTATATGGAATCGGTCGGTGCTGCATTCTACTCTATGACGTTCTGTCGGAATCTTCCCTGCTCAATGCACAACCGGTGTGTTATGTTCTGCTCTCGACGCGGCGGCTCGACGTCTACTCGGCCGTGGCTGGGCCTGGTCTTTTGGGTGGCGTGCCTTACGTCGGCGCGGATGCTGCGCTTGACAGGGCGCTGGTGACAGGCCCTGGCTGTGCTAGGCACTATTCAACGATGTTAGATTCCATCAGGTTCGAATGTATTGATATGTAGTCTGATTTGGTGTATCCTCGACGGGCCGGCGCGACGTCGTGGCGCCCGTCACGTGAATACGTTCATCGCTGCGCCTGTGTCTCCCTGTGGCCAGCCTGACCTTTGCGCGCACGTCGCGTTTGATCATGTTACGGTACTGTTGACTATGTTATGATGCTCGTTTGATGAATCGCCGTGATTTGGCGGCTGAATTACATTGCTGTGCTAAATCAGATTCGCTTGGTTTATGTGCCCAGGGTGGTCCATGACCGTATGCTTTGTTCTGTTATATTATGGACGGGCCCGCGTGCGTGACACGGTGACGCCTGTCACGTTTGAGATGTAGTCTAATCGGTCGTTGCTGCTGGTGCTTCTTGCTGCCGCCAGCGTGGGCTCGGCGCGCGCGTCGCGTCTGATAGGACGGCATTACTCGGTCGATGGGGTGTTCTACTCTGTGACGTTATTACTCGATCGGCGCTGACAGAGTAGGAGATCGACCACAAGAAAACTTCCATGAGAAACCCAACCCTGAGACACCAGGACGTCCAGTGGTTTTGTTGTTTGAACGTCAAGCTTGCCATAGCAAGACCATCGAAACTCAAGAAACCCAGGGCACCCTGGAGGCAAACAGGGTGTTTCTTGGCATGGGTTCCCACTGTATTCTAATATGTGCAAACTGCTACTGTTCAAGTCTACACAGGAGCTGCTCTTGTCAGCTCTCGACTGGGCTGCGTGGCGTCGGGGCGCCTGTCACGCTTGACATGTCGTCTGAACGGCCGTTGCTGCGCCTGCGTGTTGGCCCCGTGGCCAGCCTTGCGTCGGCGTTGCTGCTGCGTCGGGCAGGGCACAATTCATCGATCGTTGCTGAATGTTCGGCTACTAGAACCACGCGCGCTTCGCGAGGTTCTCGCCGCGCTCGAGGGTCTATAATCGCAAATTGCCGTTGGGTACTGCCAGGTTGACTCTGGAGTTCCCTTGAGGTTGGTCGTGGGACCTGCCAACACTGGATATGGAAACCCAAAATCGTCAAAGGCGGTCTTTGGGGCCTTCTACGACGCGTCGTCTGGGGCTGAAAGAGATCAAACGAAAACTGAGACGCCCGAATCTGGCTCTGCATTGCGTGGTGCCCTGGGGCCGGTACCTTCCGTGTATGCATAGATTTGCAAATACGTACACATACATGAAACTCTAGATTGATATACATAAATATGTATATATACACGTATGTATGGTTATTTATGTATGTGTGTATGTGTGTATGTATGTATGTCTGTCTGTCTGTCTGTCTGTCTGTCTCTGTCTGTCTGTCTGTCTGTCTGTCTGTCTGTCTGTCTGTCTGTCTGTCTGTCTGTCTGTCTGTGTGTCTGCCTGCCTGTATGTCTGTATGTCTGTATGTCTGTATGTCTGTATGTATGTATGTATGTGTGTGTATGTATGTATGTTTGTATGTATGTATGTATGTATGTATGTATGTATGTATGTATGTATGTATGTATGTATGTGTGTGGACGTATGTATGTATGTATGTATGTATGGATGTATGTATGTATGTATGTATGTATGCATGTGTGTATGTCTGTCTGTCTGTCTGTCTGTCTGGCTGTATGTATGTATGTATGTGTGTATGTATGTATGCGTGTATGCACGCATGCATGCATGCATGCATGTATGTATGTATGTGTGTATGTATGTGTGTGTGTATGTATGTATGTATGTATGTATGCATGCATGCATGCATGTATGTATGTATGTATGTATGTATGTGTGCGTGTGTGTATGCATGCACGTGTGTATAAGTATTCATACATGTATATGTGTATATATACATGCATACATATTATATCGATTGAGGTGTATAGATAGATGGGCCTTCGGACCATCCCGCCTCGGTGCCTGGGCTGTGGGTCAGAAGCCTCTTGGGTGTTCGTTGGTACATCGTGGGAAGCCTGTTGGGAACCTCGTCGAGGGCGGCTGCGAAGCATCTTGGGGGCCGTTTTGGGGCTTCTTGGGGCCTCTTGCGGGCCTCTTGAGGGCTTGGGGGGCATCTTGGAAACCTCGAGGCGCCTCGTCGGGGCCTCTTTGGGCCTCCTGGGGGCCTAGGGGGGGCGGAAGGCTGGAATTGTGGGTTCGTGCTCCCCCTCTTGGGGCCCTCTTGGGCCGCTCTGAGGCCCCTTTTGGACCGTCTTGGGGGGCCTCTTGGGCCGTCCTGGGGCCCTTTCGAGTCATCTTGGGGCTCCCGAGAGG